GCTTTTAAAAATGGCGGCGCCGGCTTTATGCTAATGAAGCCCGGGAAATTCAAATCCCGGGCTTCATTAGCACTAAGGGTATGTCTACACTACCCCGCTAGTTCGAACTAGCGGGGTAGTGTAGACATACCCTTAGAGATTACATTGTACATGTATAGACCTCAACCTCCAGATTTGGGCTACAGTGCTGCAGTGAGATTGAGGGTTCAAAAGGTTCCATAGTATCATAGCCTTTTTATTTGAAAAAGGTGTCGTTTTGGAGATATTATGAGCTAAGGGTATGTCTACACTACCCCGCTAGTTCGAACTAGCGGGGTAGTGTAGACATACCCTTAGAGATTACATTGTACATGTATAGACCTCAACCTCCAGATTTGGGCTACAGTGCTGCAGTGAGATTGAGGGTTCAAAAGGTTCCATAGTATCATAGCCTTTTTATTTGAAAAAGGTGTCGTTTTGGAGATATTATGAGTGGCAGGACTATTGCAGGGGTCCTCAAACTTCATTGCACCACAATCCCTTTCTGACAAAAATCACTTCATGACTCCAAGATGGGAGACTGAAGCCTGAGCCAGCCCAAGCCCCATTGTCCCATGTGGAAGGATCCAAAACAAAAACCCCAGGCCTTCAACTGCAGGCAGAGATACTGTAATCTGAGCTGCAACTCTCAGGGCTAAGCCCCGGATGGTGGGCCTCGAGCTTCGACACAGGGCCTCGGCAAGCCTAACCCAGTCCTAGCGACCCCATTAAACTGGGGTTCCCACCCACAGTTTCAGAAGCACTGTACTAGTTTACTGATGAACCCAAAGAATCACCTTGCTAGACCTTTACAAATATGAAAGTTGGTCCCACTCAATTTTTTATATTGAAATCTAAGCCTGAACAGGTGGCCTTCCCTTTCTATGTCAAAATACAGGCTACTGCCAGGGAAAGTAGCTTTATAAACGAACCTCTCAAAATTAAACACAAAGACAGCCTTCAGCTTTGGCTGCTGCCAAGGTTCCTCTTCAAGAATTGTTTTGCCTAATCCCCTAGCTCTGCAGGTAGCTACTCCAATCTCCTCATGCATAGGATAGGGTTAAAGATTCACTTGCAATGATGAACCAGGTCTCAGCAACAGCTGGCAGGCTCAACACCTGCTGACAACGTGAGTTCTCAGGATAATACTGACTCAATGTTAAAAAAACCACTAGCTTTCTAATATAAAATAATGTACTAGCTTCACATGCTAGCCTCTGGACTATAGATTCAAGGCAGTAGGCTTATTGACAATGATTTTTTTTTACTACTCACGAGAATCCCATAAGATGGAAAGAAAAATCACTGAGTTTCAAAACCCTAATTTGAAACCATATTCTCTCTTTCTAGCATCAGCTAGAACTGTTGCAAGCCTACTAATTTAGCTGACAAGCACTCTTCGTATGTCAGCTGCTTACTGAACTGCTTTTCGATACCATCTGAATGAAACTGCAGGTTCTTTATAGAAATAGATCTTGGGTATTTTTAGACTGTTTATTTGCACAATTCATCTCTCAGACATTCTATGCAGAGGACAACTGGCAAACAATATATGAAAAATGGAATAGCTAAACTACAGTTATCTGGCCTGTTTGAAGAATGATTCAGACTGACACTCCTAAGTGCGAAGGAAATACGACTAAAGAACAAAAAGTTAGTTAATAAGGGGTGTGTCAAGCTCCAGTCTTTCCTCAAAAGATTCAAACCTATTAGAGCAAAAATTGTATTACAAGTGAAAAATCAGACTTTTAAAGAGAAAAACTCATTTTGCTGCTACATACGTTGTATGTGGGATATGAATTATTATTGATGCACCTTGATTTAGACAATTTTTTCAGCCATAGCTAGTCTCCTGTCCTCATCATGGAGTCCCAATGAAATCAGTGCATATCTACAAAGGCCCCGTGCTCCGGATTGGGGCTACAGACTCTGCTTAAGTAGCCTGTAGCTGACATTCAAATCACCACAAGACATCTATTCAAACAGACTCTGAGCAGAATTTACATATACTTAACTTTGTAAAATACTTAACTAGAACTTCTCTCAAATTTAGGCTTTTTATCTCCTGAACTACAATAAGATGTGCTATTATATTCAATATACAACAATATATTCAGTTTTCTATGACTGATTAAATATTTACCATTGTTTATTTTATCAGACACACAAAACAGTCCCACACTTGCAATCATATTACTTATCCTCCATGACATCATCAATCTACCAGATTATACAAGTGTAATGTGGCATCGCCTTTATTAAAATATGCATATGAATAGGAATGACATAACTCAAACACACTTTATGCAAAATACTCCATGGAACTTAAAAGTAATAATCTGTGGAATGTGTATATTCCATGTGTGTGCCTGTATCATTCCTTTATGTGACGTCAGAAATATAAAAGTATAAACCCATTTACTGATCTAAATGTGCTAACTGAGGGCCATTAGTTGTACTCAAGGAACTTAACATCTCAGTGTTCAGGACAATGATCTGTGAATAATCTTGTTCTTCCTATAAGTTTGGACTATGGATGGTGCTGGCAAGACATGTGGCTAGGGCATCTCATGCTGGAACCCACTTTGGAGGCTGTACTTTTCCACTGGAAGAGTCAAAAGTTTAACTGAACACAAAGGATTCTTGCCTTTGGTAACAGAGAAACAGGAAAACCAAACAATAGGGCCTGCCAGATGCCAGGATACTGATGCTTACCACCCAGATGACTGCTGGAAACATCTAAGGGTATGTCTACATCGCAGCATTATTTCAGAATAACTCATGTGTCTACATAGCAAGCCATTATTTTGAAATATGTGGAGCTGGAGGACTTCTTACTCATGGTAACCCTCATTTGATAAGTAAAGCAAGTCAAAAGCCGAGTCACGCTATTTTGACCTAAGCTATGCAACCGACATAGCTGAAGTTGTGCAGCTTAATTCAACGTTAGCCCTTCTGCATAGACGTACCCTAAGCGTGCACAGAGGAAAGGATCAGGGCCAAGAGAAGCTTCAGAGAAAAGATGAACTGTTAGGGTAAGAAACTGCATGTAACAAGTTTCTTAGGGTATGTCTACACAGCAACATTATTTCAAAATAACTAGAATTATTTTAAAATAACACATTCTGCGTCTACACAGCAGGCAGTTATTTTGAAATAATCTTGAAATGCTGTCAGGCTGGAGGACTTCTTGCTATGACTCCTGTAACCCTTATTGTACAAGGAGTAAGGCAAGTCGGAGGAAGAGTACTCAATTTCAAAATAAGTGCTGTGTAGACATTCCCAATTTCAAAATAAGCTACGCAATTGCTGTAGCTCAATTTTCATAGCTTATTTACAGTTAAGCCCTGCTGTGAAGATGCACCCTTAGAGTATAAAGCTTAGCTGGTGTGTTTTGTTCTATTGTGTTTAGTAACTCACTTTGACCTTAAAAAAACAACAAATAGTCTGGTAGCACTTTATAGACTAACAAAACATGTGGATGGTAACATGAGCTTTCATGGGCACAGCCCACTTCTTCAGATGACTGGTCAGCTACATGTTTTGTTAGTCTATAAAGTGCTACCAAACCATTTGTTAATGTTTAAGTATATCCTGTACAGACTACTTGGCTACCCCCCGAAGCTTCACTTTGATCTGTTATAATTTGTTACCAGTTAAATCCTACTTTTTCCTTCTTAATAAAATCACTTTTGTTTATTAATAAACCTAGTGTAAATAGCTGTTACATAGGATAACAGCTGTGCATCTCTTTGTTACATTGATAAAGGAAGTCAAACCATTTATGGGCTTACTCTGTATGAACCTTATACAAAATAAGATGGGGTTTTCTGAGGTTCTGGTCCCACAGCTAAACATTTTGTTTAAGCCCTTCAAAATATTTGATCCAGTTTAAACTGTGAGGGCTTTGCCAAGCTCCAATTTAAGAGACAGCATTTGTTTTTATATACATTACAAATATTTGTTTTCGTATGTATTATGTTCTTATGTTCGTCTATTACAAACATACACAGAATCAATATTTTATTTGAAAGATGACCATTACTGTAGCAGTGCTATAAAGTTAAGATAATTTCCAGGAGTAGGATTTCAAAAAATGTTCATCCCAGGATAATATTTTAATAGAAATTACTGAAAAATTAAACCAAAATAGAGGAAGCTCTTTTTCATGTAAGAGAAACTTGATAAGCCTGTTCAAGTAACATTAGCATAGTTTGTTATTTTTAGTACTTTGAGTGGTGACATTCTAACATCAAGCTGTAAAATCAAATTCAAAGGAACTTTTCAGTTGAAATTTAGCATTTGCTGAAACCCAATATCAAGAAACGCATTTCCCTATTTGTTTTAAAATTCTAATACATACACCCACACCAAACCACCACACACTGAAAAACAAAATAAACAGTTCACAGTGATGTGCAATTCATTTCAACGTTGTGATATTTTGCCAGAACTTGACAGGAAAACTGACAAGTCTATTTCTAACTGAACTGCAAAAAGTGAACAGTAAAAAGTAAAGAGGATTTTTAAAATATTCTGTTTTAATAATTAAAAGGTGGCATTAAAAATATGCTACAAGACAGAAATATTTTTAAAGACACTAGGTGAAATCTTGGCTCCAATAAAGTCAATGGCAAAACTTCCATTAACTTTAGTAGAAATAGGATTTTGTCTACTGCCTACAATTTGGATTATCGTGGCACTATCCAGTGTTCTGTTTTTAAAAACACTACAACAGTCTAGAAGATACATAAGAATGGTTATACAGAATCAGACCAAAGGTCCCTCTAGCCCTGTATCCTGTCTTTCAACATTGGCTAGTGCCAGATATCCCATAGGTAATGAACAAAACAGGTAATCAAGTAATCCATTCCTTATCACTCATTCCCAGCTTCTGGCAAACAGAGGCTAGGGACACCATCCTGGCCCATCCTACCTAATAGCAATTGATGGACCTGTCCTCCATGAATTTATCTAGTTCTTTTTTTTAACTCTGTATAAGCTTGGCCTTCACAACATCCTTTGACAGAATTCCACAGGTTGACTGTGTGTTGTGTGAAGAAATGCTTTCTTTCATTGAATACCTGCTGCCTATTCATTTCATTTGGTGACCCCTAGTTTTTGTTACAAGGTGGCACACATAGCACTTTATCTACTTTCTCTGCTTCAGTCATGATTTTATAGACCTCAAGCATATTCCACTTAAGTTACTTCTTTTCTAAGATTAAAAAATGCCAGTTTTATTAATTTCTCCTCATATGGAAACCATTCCATATGCCTAGTTTGAACTGTTTCCAATTCCCATCTCTCTCTCTCTCTCTTTTTTTTTTTTTTTTTTTTTTAAAGATGAGGCAACCACATCTGCAGACAGTACTCAAGATTGAGGCCATACCATAGATTTATATAGTGTCAATACAATATTTTCTATCTTATTATTTATCCCTTTCTTAATGATTCTTAACATTGTTTGCTTTTTTGACTGCTGCCTTACATGGAGTAGATGTTCTCAGAGAAAGAGCCACAATGACTCCAAGAATAGGTTACAGTTAACTGAAATTTCACATTTGAGTTCCTTCAATACTCTTGAGTGTATGCCATCTGGTTCTGGTGACTTATTACAGTTTATCATTTTGTTCCAAAGCCTCCTATAATGGCATCTCAATCTGAGACAGTTCCTCAGAGCTGTCACCTAAAAAGTATGGCTCAGGTTTGGGAATCTCCCTCACATCCTCAGCAAGCAAATAATTCATTTAGTTTCTCCACAATGACCTTACTGTCCTTGAGTGCTTGGTTAGCATCTCAATTATCCATTGGCCGCACTGGTTGTTGAGCCGGCTTTCTGCTTCTGATGTTTTAAAAAAAATCATGCTATTACTTTTGAATCTGTGTAGCTGTTCTTTAAAGTCCTCTTTGGTTTATGCTCCTTTCTATTTCTTCACTAGGATTTAACTTCCACATTCTAAAATACATGCATATTTAATCATTCTTGCTCTTGTTCAACCTTAAAAATTAAATTATGGGAGAAAATTGAAGTTATTAAAAAAAGAATCCAAGCCCTCCAGTGTAAAATATGACTGGATTCATAATAATTTTCCAACTACTACCTACACAGAAGGATGATTCAGACCATATCAGGTTTGTTCAATAATGTATATAGTGAACACACTGCTTACAATCAGAGAAGCAAATTGTTCCCCATTGGAATCAGGAGTGACCTGAAGTCTTCTGTTCAGTTCATCAGATAGCTCCAGAGGACTGGTCCGAGACACTGGAGAAGCTGGGGGTGGTGGCAATGAGAGGCTTAAGGAATCACCACTTATACTCACTTCCTCTGAAATGGTTTCCCAGGGCTGACAAAAGGAAAAGATTATGGAAAATTAGAAATGTGAATCTGCACAGCTTCAGAAACAGGATCTCATTCAGTTTTTTTCCTTGGCTCAGGCAGCTACCTCAAAAAACATGTCAAAACAGTCCCGTGAATGGTGTGTATTAACTTACAATCAAAAACCATCCATTTAAAGGGATTTAACTTCCCTATAGGGACTCTCAGAACACCATAGAACAGTTTCTTAATGCTGATGAAATGATTTCAAGACTCATGTTACATACTTCAGAAGCATCGCCACTTTCCATAGGCTCAGGCTCCAAATCCTCACTAATGTGTCTCCGGGAACGAAACCGCCTATGGGCTGCCTCTTGGTTTATCTGTCTGATGTTGTTGTCCGAATCAGATGCAACATCACTGGACAATGTGGAAATGAATAAGGAGAGAGAGGAGAACAGGGAAGCTATTAATGCTAAATTAACACATTTTCCCCATTGTAAATCCAGATCCTCTGTCCATCTATAAGTCATTAAAAAGACACACAAGATTCTTCTCAGACCTCTGTCAAAGTATATTTCAACAGAGCAACACTTAGCCCTGAGCAAATAAAACCGGAAGTCAATCATAAGATTTCTGTGTAATTAAAACATAGAATAATAGATTTGAGTACTCACTGCAGCTACTTGGACAACATTAGAAACTGAAATTTTTATATATATATATATATATATAATATAAATAAATAAATAAATAAATAAATAAATAAAAACAGGGAGAGCAGCCCACAAGTGAATATTCCAATTGACCATTGTGGGCACTCATGACCAACCAACTACTTCTGCTCATGCTCTGGCATCAGTTCAACACCCAGAATCCCTTCTCTTGGGACCTAGCCAGCCTCCAAAAGACAATCCCAGAGTTCTTCTGGCTGGTGCTGTACTGAATCTCTGCAGGTGTCCTAAGCCTCCCCCCTCGGGGAGCAGACAAGGGCCTGGTATACACCATCCCCCTTCACGCTCTGCTGAGATTCTTGAATGGTGCAGGTAGCCCGTCATAGTCATAAGGCCACCTCCTAGAACGTCTGAGACTGCACAGCTTATTTCCAGTTCCTTGTCTGACCATGTTTCTGGGCAGAATTCCTCTAGGTAATGTCCAACAACACGTCTGTGACCCTGCCTGGGGTTCTCTGCTCAGCATCTCCTTCTAGTACCTTGATTTTCTAAATTTTGGATCTCACTCCCATTTCTCCTTTTTTCCATTTGTTGCTTCATTTTGTGGCCTGGGTCAAATGGGTCTACCCCCTTGGTTGAAGAAATGGGCATTTAGTTGTACTTATTTTAGGTAACGTGGTGGGTATCTCACCATTGGGCACTATTTCCTGACCTAAGAGAAACCATCACAAGAGGGGAGACACAACTTCCATCTCTCTGCTTAAGTCAATCATAGTTCTCTCTGATTGAGACTGCCAACAAAAGAGGGTAATTTATTGAGAGATTTTGTGATATGGAAGCCTCCTCAGAAAGAACTGGCCTCAGACCAACAATTTATTTCACACTGGTAGAAGACTAAATGTTCTTTCAGGAAGGTCAAGAAGCCACAATCAATACTTTGGGGTAGATTTCTTGCTTGCTCAGCCCCCTTTGCATAAAGTAGAAATCAAGTAATTTAATCACATTGAGCTCTAGCAGTTTCTCCCCACTCTCAACATGCCAGGGACTGCAGAGAGGGGGACAAAGGAAATGTATTTTGGCTTCGTGTCAGATAGTAATTCCCTTGCAGGGGAATCCCCAAAAGGGAAATGCAAGTAGTTGGGAGTGAAAGCCACCTACAATTCCCCTTCTGGAGATCCCGTTAGAATGAGGGAATCCCAAGCAGGCACAGACCCACAAGAGCCAGTTGCTACACCTCTGGGTAATGGAACATGTTGGGAGTAATGGGGAGCTGCATTTATGGCCCTTGTGGCTTGAAATTGCAGCCTTCAAAGGTTTTTCTTAACACAATCACAGTTCTAACAATGACCTTCAACAGCTACAATTTACAGTCTCAAGAGCCACATAGAACCACACCCTGAAACTCTCATTACCACATTTCCTCATTATCCAAGTAGGGTGTGTTTGAAATACTAACCTGTGAGTGAGAGGATACTACTGGAAATCACATAAGCCCCTATGTTTTCTACTTCTGTTGTATAGATTTAAGAGCTTAAGGCCAGAAGGAGCCATTATAAAGCACAACTTCCAGAAAGGCATCCACTCTTGATATGAAAGCTATCAAGAGAAGAAGAATCCACTGCTTCCCTTTTCCACTGATTAATCACCCATTATAAAGATTTGTGGCTACATTTCCAATTTAAATTTGTCTCCCTTCCTTGAGCTACCAGCCCTTCATTCCTATTATTTATCTTTCTTCTCAAGAATGAAGAGCACTTTAAAGCCCAGTATTTTCTCCCCATGAAGACCCCTATATGCTGCAATCAATCAATCTTTTTGATAAGCTAAACAGATTAGGCTCTTTAAGTCTCTCACTCAGACATTTTCTCCAGACTGCCAATAATTTTTGTGATAGAAATGTAGCCGTGTTACTGTGGTGTAGCTGAAGCAAAATACAGGACTATATAGCACTTTAAAGACTAACAAGATGGTTTATTAGATCTTGTTAGTCTCTAAAGTGCTACATAGTCCTGTATTTTGCTTCAATACTTTTTGTGACTTTCTTCTGTGCCTTCTCCATTCTTATTGAGATTGTATTGTGCTAATTTTTAATTAGCTTTTTGTGCAGTGCTAAAGCCAATGCCTTAAAAACCTTCATACATTACATCTATCCAATTAGCTCTATCGGCCAAACCTGTACTCAAAAAATGAAAACATGTTTGTCTGACAATTCCACTGTTAGACAACTGAGTACAGTCCCAACTTTCAGTATAACACATCCAAAATTCCATTACATTAGTTGGTTTTTAAAGCAATGCAAAATGAATTGAATTAAAAGGGTATAATTATTAATTATTGAAACTATTATTTTTAATAAATACAGGCAGTCCCCGACTTACGTGGATCCGACTTATGTCGGATCCGCACTTACGAATGGGGCTTTCTCGCCCCGGAGGTCGAGGTGGCGGTCCCCAGCAGACCACAAGCACCGGGACTGAAGCCTCAGAGCAGTTAATATCTTATGTAACCAGGATGAATTTCATCAGGTACTACTAACTTGAATCTACCTAATTTATCACAATATTCTTTAATCTGTTATTTTCCTATTTTGTCTTGGGTTCTTCCCTCGTGTTGTGAATAATTGTATTAAATATCTGGTCACCATTAATCTTTTTAATGAAACCTGAAGCATAATAGGCATTAAACCTCCCAGACCTTCTTGATGTCATCAGATCTTCTTCCTCACTAAGCAGACTAACACTTTCTGATGTCTTCCTCATGCTCCTAACATTTTTAAAGATCTCTTCTTATTACTGCTTATACAGGCAGTCCCCGCAGTTACGAACGGGGCCCTTCCTCTCCCTGGTCTCCAGCAGACCACGGAGAGGAAGCAAAGCGGTGGAACACGCGGGCAGCGGACAGGGTTATCCGCTGCCCACGCGCTCCGCGGCTTGGCTCTGCTTTGCTGTAAGTCAGAACTGGCGGTCAGTTTCAGCAGCGGCTGAATCTGGACGCCAGTTCCGACTTACATACAGATTCAACTTAAGAACAAACCTACAGTCCCTATCTTGTACGTAACCCAGGGACTGCCTGTATATAATCTGTGTCACCGTTTGCATAAAAATATTCGTATCTAAAGTCTAAGGCAACTTGAAATAAACAGTAGGGTTTTAAGTTATGTAGATAACATGGCTTTACATAATTATAAAAATAAATAAAAATTAACATTCAAAAGATGTTACTTTAATAATTATCTTATTGTGGGAAAGGAGTAGTTTACATGTTAAAGAGCAAAATAAATGTAGATGTATGATTTTATCTTACTCAATGATGGATGGCATTTAAATTTAAGTCTATCATATTTTGTGATAATGAAAAACCTAGATTTAAAAACACGAAAGACCCTTGGCCACCAGTATGAAAAGATTACACACATTACACAGCTTGATGTAAATTAGAATCTCTTAGCAAAGTGATTCATTTAAACTTAATAGGTATGCTGAAGATTTCTCTTCTCTTTTACAATTCTTGTTATTGTAAGCATGCTCTTATCAAATAAATAATCTGAACAAGTCTGTTGTATAAGACCTCCCAATAACCTGCATTATGTTCCTAATAGCCTTGTTGATCAATTTGTGTTTATTATAAGGGTATATAGTTAGAATATATGTACATAATATTCAAACTTTTTATATATGCATATGGAAACACAAATAACTTGCCTACAATGGAAATCTTATCTGGATATCTTGACACCAAGACCACACGTGAAGAAAACCTGTGAGCTCCTGAACCCTCATAAGGAGACACATCTCTTTGTATAATGCATTTTCCAATAACCATATAGCTCCCAATACCTTTTGTGACCCCTTTATTCTTGCAATAGTTAACACAACTGCAAAATAATATCTGAGCTTCAAGAAAAGCTGTCAACACATAAAAACACTGAAAGCTTCATACTATAAGTCCGTGACTTGAAATGTTGTAACACCTTTAAGAAAAATCTATAATTTACTATTAGGATTAATCTACAGCGATCACTAAATGCATCAGTAATGAAGCTAGACTCTCAAATTCAAATGCTACTTATAATAAGGGAAAAACTGAACCTTACAGAAATAAGATAGCAGTTTGAATATTCCTATCGATTGGTAACCTAAAGAGCACTTCTTTACTTCAAGATCTCAACAAACGTTTGTCAGGAGAGATGTCATCCTATTGAATAAGATAGGCTTTTGAGGTGACTGTCTGACCTTCAGTTTTAGCAAAGCTGCTGTAAATATCTAACCTGGCAAGCCAGAGAACTTCCCTAAGGCTGGCTTCATTGTTTCCTTCTGTTGATTTCCCCAAAGCTCTTCCAACTTTAGTACATGTCAGATTCTGCCCTTTAATGTGAGCATATTTCACATGTGTGACTTGGAGTTGCATGGGGAATGTCATATACACACAAATTATGATGAGGAATGTTGAGCAGAGATATAGGTTGAATAGTTACTGTGGAAATATACGGTAACTAATTACAAAAAAACAGACTTTCTGACAGCGAGGTTCAATTAAAATGAAAATCTGCTTGCCTTTATAAAAACTCTCTGGGCTGGGTAAAAAACAAACAAACAAAAAACACTTCCCTCTTTTTGACCAGTTGGGAAACAAACCACCATCCTGAAGCAGCAAAACAAACAACAATCAGTTCTGTTCAATTACGCCTAGGGAGTTTGTTGAATCTTCAAGCATGGAGATTTTTAAGAGCAGGTTAGACAAATGCCTGTCAGGGATAGACTAGGCAATACTTAGCCTTCCATGAGTGCAGAGGACTGTACTAGATGACCTCTCAATGTCCCTTCTAGCCTTATGATTCTAGGATTAATTCTATTGTAGAGAAAACATGTATATGGAAAGCTCAACTAGATTACCCTCTGCTTTGTTAACCTAGGTGGTCTAACTTCTGTGACTTAGGTGAGCCCATGCCGGGATTGGATACTATATTTGTAATAAGCACTTTCCATGTGTCCAGTCATGCTGAACATCCTTAACGTCCACTAAAGCCAATAAGAACTGAGGGCATTCAGCAACAAATTAGGGATGTAAAGTATCAGAGGGGTAGCCGTGTTAGTCTGGATCTGCAAAAGCGACAAGGAGTCCTGTGGCACCTTATAGACCAACAGATGTATTGGAGCATAAGCTTTCGTGGGCAAAGGCCCACTTAACATGCATCTGATGAAGTGGGTCTTCGCCCACGAAAGCTTATGCTCCAATACATCTGTTGGTCTATAAGGTGCCACAGGACCCCTTGTCGCTTTTAGGGATGTAAAGAGTCATTAAAAGATGTAACCATCTGAACATCTGGTAACCGCTGAAAACCCTAGCGGTTACACGTTGAGGGCTCTGCAGTACAAAGCTTATATATGGGGAAGCTGTGCTGTGGGCTCTGTAGCTGGCTCCTTGGGAGCACGGCCAGCAAACCCTGCTGGTCCTGCTTCTGAAAAGCCAGTGTGTAACCTATGGTGGGGGAGCAGGACTGCTCCAGGGCAGAGAGCTGCTCCAGCCCCTACCTATTAACCTGAACTGGTAAGCCTCACTCATTAAGGGTGAGGCTTACTGGTTACGGGTTAACCATTTACATCCCTACAACATACAGAGGACATGGTCTCTGAGTTAGATCCAGCATCCACTGCAGTCACTAGAAAGACATCCACTGATTTCTATGAATTCTGGATCAGGCCCTATGTGTTCAAGGAATCACCTGGTTTCAAACTGGGTCTATTACATATAGAAATTCCTCTTTTTCCTGAGCCCATGTTCTTGTGGCAATCAACACCTGCTGAAGAGTTTAAGATTTTGTATATGCTTCAAAATGGCCTCATATTAAAACTCTGATTAACTCCAGATTTGTCTAGAATAGTAAAATGGTCTAGGTATGTGTTTCATTAGCTACAAGTTTTTTTTTTTTAAAAAAAGAGAATTCCACTTTTTAAAGAAGTACAATTGTGTTTCCCGAGAGAACGACATCAGCCTTTACTTGTCAACTATCAAGAGCGTTTTATGAACATGCACACACACAGATAAGATTATATTACCTGATAACATCAAAATTTACAACAAACCTGTCATTGTAAAAAAACAACAAATGAACATACTTCCTAAATGTCTTCAGGTCTCATTTTAAGATTTGTTTAGCCTACTGCTTGGGATATCCATTGTATCATAAAAATAATACCTGTAGGATAGAAGTTTCATCCGTACTCATAAACTGCACGTCCCATCAGTTTACTGTCCTGCTCCAATACTTACATTAAACTTGGTCGGTGCCACTGAGTCGTCCTGTTGTTATGGTTGACGTAGTAAGTACGACCCAGATTGTCTACTTTTTCTTCCCATCCAGGAGGCAGTGGAGGAGGTGGTAACTCCTCTTGATGATGAGATGATGAGTCATTGGAATCAACTACCTCCCATGCACGCTTAGGGATAAAGTAAGAATTATAATATTTAAGTTAAACAAAAAACGTTAAATGCTGTGAATTAGGGGGCTCTCTACTATTTAAACATTTCTGAAGTGATGCATTAAGAATTAAAATTAAGAATGGGACAAAAACCTGTCCCCACTGTTACACAACATTATCTCATATCTTGGCAAACAAAAGAAAGTCAGTATAAGCTTTTCAGATCATAGGATTTATTCAAACTATCTTAATGCAACTTCAACGTTAGCAAGTACTTTGTACGACGCTACAGGTGTAACAATCACTGTGTTACAATAAGTTCATTTTTCAACAGAAATTAGCCCAGCTAATTGTCCAAGCAGGGGATAAGCTGGGAAGTTAAAATTTATTAAAACATATATTGTATTGTTTGTCCCTTCCCTATCCCTTTAATAAATTACTTTTTTTTTAGGACTCTATCCTAGAATAACATCTCCTAGCATGGCGCCCTGCACTTGTATCACTAGCTGTCATTTTGGGCTCTTTTTGATCGTGCTTCATTCTCAGTACAAGATTCTATACACCAAATTCTATCACCGTTTGAACCCAAAAACCTCCTCTTACCATTAGCATGCAACTTTTACTCCCAGTTGCACATGTGCAGTTATGCTGGCACTTAAAAATTTTGCTGAAATGAGGCCTAAGAGCACTCCACTCCTATTCACTTCTACTGGAGTTGATGATGCTCACCTTCTGACAGTTCAGATTCAGGGTCCGTCTACACTGCAACGTTATTTCAAGGTAACTAGCATTATTTTGAAATAATGCGAGCGTCTACACAGCCATTCTGTTATTTCAAAATAATTTTGAAATAACAGACTGCTTATTCCAACTTCCATGAACCTCATTTCACGAGAAATAATGCCTATTCCAAAATAGCTCTTTCGAAATAAGACGGGTGTAGACATTCTACTGCTGCTATATCGAAATAGCCCCTCACCCAGGCTCTTCTAAGTTATTCCTCCCCAGTGTCTCCTCGGGCTCTAAATCAAGATAGCACATCCCCATTAGGAAAGCCTGCCTTAGACTAATTTTGAGGCTTCCCTGCAGTGTAGATATGCTATTTCAAAATAAGCTACTTCAGAATAACTATTTCAGAATAACTTATTTCAAAATAAGCGTGCAGTGTAGATGTACCCTTAGAGTCCTGTTGTATCGGGATCCTGTGTGAGCCAGAAGGAGATCCACTTCATGAAGTAAAGAGATATAAAAGCATATTTTGGCTGGGAAGATGGGGCTAGTTCCACAGAAGGATTCAGGTACCTAACTGCCACTTTAGACATCTAAAAATCAACTTTTCAGAACCACAGAGATCCCGAAAGCCTACACAGTTGTGCCCCTACTCTGCATTTTTAGGTAGGTGTCTGAGTTTCCAGCATCAAAGCCTCCCAGGTGCCTAAGTTTCTACTAGTAAGTATGCATGCAGCTTCCTCTCTCGAGGTGCCCAAGCTCTTAGCTCACATGTAAGCCACAACAGTATCTTCAAAACAGGCATTCCTTGGCCTATCCTCCAGGGCCTAATGTGGTAGTGCTCTATCTTTGCATGCCTGAATTCACATAAAATGGTCTGGGGAGTGGAAGAGAGAAATGGCCTGAGAGGAAAAAAGGATTTGAACTAGGGTTTTCCATTTCTCCCGTATGTGCCCTAATCATTGAACCACACGATATTTGATGCAAGGCTCTCTCACGGTGTATAAATAATTAAATGTGCATTGGGCCACAAAGTGCGAAAATTACTCCAAAGTCGTCATTAGACAGAGGCAGCAAGACAGCTAGGAGGAGAAACGTCTAGTCGAGGGACTACGCAACTATCCAATAAAGCTTATGCTTATCTGAGAGTCGACTAGTCGCGTACATCCCTAGCTCCAGACCCGTCAAGCCCCCATGTGGGGCCGGCATCCAGTCCTGCACAACTGACAGTCGAGGGACAGTCCTACAAGGCCGGGGTGGGAACCCACTCCAGCTGGGCTGGAGCAGTCTCCCACTCGGAATCCTGCTTAGTTGGTTAACCATTTTTAACATTAGATTAACCTAATGTTTAACCAGTTAATTGATTATTTAGGATTTTAAATCCCTAGTTTCCAGTACTATTCCCCATCCCCTTTTTTATGCATCCTAACATAGTTCTCTTTTTCGAATGCACTTTTACATTAGGTAAAGATCTTGATTGAGCCAAGTACAATGATGCCCAGATTCCAGAAAAGGAAAGGGGTAAAAGGATTCAATAGACAAGCAGTCCACGAAATGCTGGCTGTCAGAGCCAGAGCCACATGAACACTCCACCAATGGCTGGGGCCAGAGCCTCATGGCTGTGGCAGCTGCTCCTCTGGTGGCCAGGGCGAAAGCTGTGTGGCCCTGTAATATGTCCCTCTACAGCAGCCAGGGGCCCTGGAAACAGAGGCTAACATAGGGGAGGTCTGGTGTGGAGGGAGGAGCTCTAAGGGGTGGGGAGCTGGTGGAACTGAAGCCGATTGTTTGCAGCAGCTCTGGGTGCTGGGGCTTTTGGCAGACCAGTAACAATTCGTTTGTATATTCATAATTTGCATAATGAATGTGCTAATAAAATGTTGCCAGTCCGCCGAAGTTTGTGAATGGGTTTGCCAGTTCTCAGTGTAAAAACAGCTGGAAACCACTGTAATAGAAGAAGAGTGAAAAAGTGAGAGAGAATGGGAAAGCAGTATAAAAAAACAGAGCAATGGAGTACGATGAATAAGAATGCGAAGGAGTGTGAGAACACATTGTACCAGGAAAAATGAGAGGAACAAGGAAATAGATGTTGAGAAGTAGTGTAACTCTACTTCATAGGGTTCCATTAAGAAATAGTTTACGAAGGAATAATACATTAGAAAAGGCTGGAATAATGGTTAATCAATTTTTAGAGACTAATGATTAATAGGTTTCTTAAGCATGACTTATAGGCTATGTCTGCACAGTTATTTTGGAATGAACTATTCCGGAATAGTTATTCCTTATTTTGAAATAACATGTCTACACTGCAGTGAAGCCTCAAAATTAGTCCGAGGCAGGCTTTCCTAATGTAGATGTGTTATTTCAAAATAAGGAATAACTATTCCGGAATAGTTTATTCCGAAATAACTGTGCAGTGTAGACATATCCTATAAGTCATGCCTAAGAAACCTATTAATCATTAGTCTCTAACAATTGATTAACCATTCATTCTCGATTTAGAGCCCCAGAAGGAATAACTTAGAATGGCCTTGGTGAGGGGGCTCTTTCGAAATAGCAGAAGTGGAGCATCTACACATGCCTTATTTCGAAACAGGCGTTATTCTTTGTACAATGAGGTTTACAGAAGTCAGAATAAGCCATCCGTTATTTTGAAATTATTTCAAAGCAACGGAATTGCTGTGTAGATGCCTGCATAGTTATTTCAGAATAATGGACATTCTACTGATATCTTTTAACCATGCACATGTACAGACATAACTCATACAGCAGCAATTAATCATTTATTAATCCTTTTAAATTTACTTATGAAGGTAACTAATATTTTAAAAAAGTGACAAAATGAGAGCAAGGGAACCAACAGCCTTACAAAGAGAGGTAAAGATACACACTCTTAAAAAGGAAAGGCAAGAGAATTGAAGGAAAGAATGAAAAAGAATTAAACCCAAAGACAACATAGTAAGATAATTTAAAAATAGTTTGTAATAGAAAGGTTAACACTTATATGATACAACAAAAACATGCTTGCTCTCAGTATGAAAATATGGCCTTTTTTAGTGGAAAACAAATAAAAAACTTAATTCAAGGGGTTGGCATAAAACTGGACCTAGTAAAAATAAACAAACGGCAGTGAATGAAAATTCAGTGCAGAAGAGGGATTACTTTGGTTTTTGGAGGAGGGAAGGGTTAAGGGATAGCCGACTAGTACGTCTTGTCAATAAGGAGGACTAATCAAGTGAGTATTCACCTGGCTAGGCCTTCTGGGTATAAACCTGCACAGCTAGTCCAAGCCACAAACTGTGCCACCCATCTCCCAATGGCTACACTGGACGGAGGGAGTCAGACCTTTACCTGAAAAGGAGACTCAACATGTGTATGTAAGAGAGGGCTCACTCACATGTTGCAAGCATTCAAGGAAGAAAAACTGCCAGGTTATAAAAGACCAAAACAGAAGCTGAGATTGGCCAAATGAAACCTATCAGGACAAAAATCTTATAATTAAGTAAGTTCTAGGGATGTAAGTGACTAGTTAACTACCCAATAAGCAAATGCTTATCAGGTAGTCGAGTAGGAACTCTAACAGTCACTTTTCCCCCACCTTGCTTCCTCTATCAGAGAGAGGCAGCAAGCGGGGGGAAGCACAAATTGATGCTGGGGGGGGAGCTGCCTTAGAAGCGGATTTCCCTCCCCCCTCCGGCCTGTCTCCGTGGGGGGCAAAGGAGGTAGGGGGCAGCGGGGAAAACAGTCAAAGTGGGGATTGAAACAGTACTGTTCATATTGGTCCCACTGCTGCTCCTCTCCCTTTGTAATGTACAAAAGCCACCAGCAGCTCTTGTACGTTTCTAAGGAAGAGGCACAAGAGGGGAACCCCTGCCAGTGAGGTCTGGTTTGCTCCCTGGTGGCACGGGTTCCCCCTGCGTTTCTTCTTTTGAAATATACAAGAGCCATGGGTGGCTCTTGTACATTTCAAAAAAGAGAGGCAGAGGGAACTGTGGGCAGGTCTTGTACATTTCAAAGGGAGTGGTGCAGGGGGATGAGGACAAGGCCCCCCCCCCCCCCCCATCGACTAATTAAGTAGTCAATGGAAATTCCATCAACTACTCGATTATCTGGTTAATCAAAATGTAAGATCTCTACTAGGTTCTTTGGAGCAAGGAATCTTAAAAGAAATAAATTTTCTGATGGCAGCAAAACATACAATAGGAACCTTGACTTGAAATGGCACATGATGAAGGGAGAGGAGGCTAAATAAACCAGTACACAACAATAATTCCTTTAGTCAATTTTTTTTAAAAAAAAAAATCATCATTTGCTCTTCCTCCATGGAATACAGGATGTCACTGCATTGAGAATAACACCTGGACTTTAATGAGCCCAAAAGCTTTAAAATGGTTATAGTACGGAACAGGGAGGAAATAGTAGGGGAAATAAGTGAAATTTCTTACCTCAGATTCCTCCCTTTGATCACTACTTTCTTCTTCTTGTCCTCCATTCTTTGGCATATAGGCCATTTTCAATCTCAAGAAACCCTTCACCCGAGATTTGTGGCTAAAGAACAAGATAGTATTAAGTGAGGAGATTTATGAGGCAGTATTCTTTTAAAAATAAAATATAATTTCTTAAGTTAAGCAGAATTTTATTAGGATTCAAATCCCCTCACCTTCTTGGTCTGAGAAGGAAATCCTTAAAAGTGTATGGCCGTTCCATGGTTGGGTCTTCTGTCTAAAGTTGTTAAAAAATAAATTGAAGAGCTAATTCTCAAGAATACATAAATACTCACTATATTTGCTATAAGGGTTTGCTAGAAACACTTTGTAAAAATGGTTAAGTAACTGAAATCAAAAGGAAACATTTTTCTACCAGTAGGTGATATTTGTGTTTCATATTATTGAATAACAGGTCCACTAGATGTCGCTATGAACATCAACAGTCCATTGTTCACTATTGCAATATTTACAAATCAGTGAAAGGAGAAAGAAAAAATGTTGCCTAAAACAACTCACCATAACTTGTTCTAGCTATCCAAGAATAATGTTTGAAAATTATAGCGCACTGTCATTTCAGACAGAAGGAGATACCCAAATGTATGAATAACATTTCTTACCCCTTGAAATTTAATTAAATATTATTCAGCTATAAAATTAGCTTTTATTTCAGGATTTCACTGCCCATCACAATAAAAGCTAAATCTCCCAACAAGAGGCAGGTAAGTAACATCAAGTACCCACTGGCTGTTTCTTAAAGCTGTTGCTCTTGAAGTCTTTTGCTTACATGAGACTCTCATCCTTCCTTAAACAGCCCTCCTCAACTCCCAAAATTGTAGCCTTTAGGATTGTGGGAAAGCTTGGGAATATGAACTGTAACATTCAAAAACTGAAAGCCAAATGAGAACCAAAAAACTCATTGTTCCTGTGCATTCCCCATTAACTGATTGTTCTGAAAACTTGGGCTCAACTGATTTGTCCATGGTTGTTATAGAACCATAAGCCTTTAAAGTAGACCCAGGCACACTTATTTCCCTTCCCAATTTGAAACACTGGAGCACTAGCCATCCTCCTTTCCAAATTACTGTAAATTCACAGATGGGTATGCGTTGGCCTTGCAAAAAAAAGTTACTGCTCAATACTCAGATTAAAAACATCAGCACACAAATTCTTTCAGGGTTTATAATTAAACTACAGGTTGAATCGCCCCACTCTGGTATACTTAGGACCTGACTGGCACTAAACCAGGGAATTTGCCAGACAACAGTGGATCAATATTGTGTAGCAGCATTACCAGCACTTGCACTGCTCATTGAGATCTTAAAAGACATTTATGGGTAAAGTAGAGGTAAATAGCAGCACACAACACAGAGCCAGGATGGGTGGCTATAAATAAACTTCTTGGGACAACAGGAAGCTTTGCTACACACATGATAACTGGACATCCAGCTAACTAAAATCACTGTTGACCATGAACGTTGCCAGACCAGAGAGTGCCGCACTATAGAGTTCAATCTATATCATGTAGTTTGTTCAGCTGAAAAGTCCTTCTTTTCTGAAAGTAACTTCCTGCATCTTGTTTCCATTGACTTCCTACAAGAGACACATTTCCTTCTTTTAAAGAAGAAAAAGTTAAGATGACAGGATCACAGAAAATATACAAGGATGAGATTCATCACTCCTCACTTCTATAATTATTTTACCGCTCTGAGTGGGATACAAAAAACAAATACATCCAGAACTCTGCTTTATTAGCTTAATCTTGTAGATAGCAAAGCTGAAGTCCAAAGAAGTCCAGAGACTTGCCAAACAAGTCAACAGAACAAACAGAATGAAAACTAAATCAAAGAACTTTAACTTTACTATAATTATTGGATTAATGAAAAGTATTGAAGAGAAAACATTTTATCATTATTTCATCTCTCTCAAAAAAAGGGCGGGGGGACTTTATTTGGTTCCTTTACCATCAAATTACTACCGTACCTTACGAGGCATGTGGATTTAGGGATGTTAAAATGTATTTAAGTAACTGTAACCAATGAAATTTTCCAACGGTTACAGGATTACAGGGGGGAAGGCAGGGAGCAGTCAGTTCCCATCTCCCCCTGCACTGCTGCCTCTCATACAGAGGCAGCAGTGGGGAAGGGGCAGGGGGAAGCAACTCCCCGGTGTGCATGGGGAGTCAGCTTTTAAGCCAGCTGCCTGCGTGTACTGGGAGCTTGTGTGTAACCATGAAGGTTAACTGATGAGCCTCGACTCATCAGTTAACTGTATAATGGTTACACTTTCACGTCCCTAAAGCGGTTAACTCATAATTACAAAGTTTGGAATCTTAGCTACGCACAGGGGAATATTGTATTGAAACATCTTTCTTACTCTTACTGAGACAACTGGGAGCAATTAATGCCTCTTCAAACTAACTTACCCAATTGCCAGTTCTTGCTTTGTATTTTTCATATAAATTTAGCTAAATTAATGCTACTAAAATGAATTTAAAATATCTGTGATTGTCCACATCTTATGTGCTGTATAATATCCTATATGCCGTTACATTACATAACATAGTGGTGGGGTGTATCACATCTAAATTACAGATAATTCAAAAAAGAATGGCCCCAACTTGCAGGAGGGGTGCAGCTAAGGTTGGATACTAGAAAAAACTATTTCACTAGGAAGTGGAAGTACTATTGGTGAAGTACTGGAAGGGGTTGTAGAATTCATCACCTCCCTACGCAACCCCTTCCAGTACTTCACCAATAGTACTTCCACTTCCCAGTTAATTTCACTGCATTCCCAGTGCGCTATCTGCAAACAGATCTTCCCATAACTGACAGAAGCCCAACTCTCCTGAATGTGTCAGTGCATTCCCAAGGAGACACCCACTACTAGTCCATCTCACTGCAGCCCTATCTCTAGAAAGCCTATCCTCTCGTTTGAGCTAGATAAAGAAAAGAAAAAAAGTTAAGAAAAAACAATCAAAAACAAACAGGGCTTTTATATGCTCAGCTGCACTGGAACCATTTTAACTTCCCTTAACACAGCTCTGTTGTCATCCCGCAACATGTGGCTACTGCTCTTACTAGGACTGAAGTAGTGCTCAAAACATGCTAGGCATTTTCCAGGCATAGAGGAATACAGCTCATGCCCCAAACGGTGTACGATCTTAGACACAGACAACACACATAATTATAGGATTGAACACAAGCCTAGGAATGGTGGAGTTGGGGTGGAATGGAAAGCAAAGTAAAAATAGGGATTTTTAAGGGCAGGTTTGGAGGAGACAGTTTGCTTGGCTCACAGGAAGGAAAATTGTTCATAACAGAAGAGGTGACAGTGTGAAAAGAGGCCATAGGATAATTAGAGGGACATTACAGTACAGATTGGACCTCCCAAAACCAGGACTCCCTCATCTGGCAATATCCATGGGTCCAGCAGAACCATGGGTGTTACTGGAGCAGGGAGTACTGGCTGGGAACCCCAGTGGCAAGAGGGCTGGCAGCTCAGAGCCCAGTGGGGCTGGGCCTGGAACTGGAGTCCTGGTAGCACACCTACCCACAGAGACCCCAGTAGTAGGGGTTAAGATGTGGCAGTCACGGCAGCCCCAATAGTGGGGTTGGGGCTACGGCAGTTTGGGGCTGCAGCAGCTTGGCAGCCCAGTGGGGGCTGGTCCCAAGCAGCAGGAAGGGAAAGTGGCCTGGGGAGCCAGTAGCAGGGAGACCTCCTCTGGTGCGGCAAATTCCCTTGTTCGTGATTGGTCAGATCCTGAGGGTGCCAGAGCAAGACCAGGGAGGTCCAACCTGTAGTTAAGAGAGCAAGGACCAGACTATGGACTAGCCACCATTTGACACAGAATAACTGGGGCAGAACGAAGGGAGAATGAATGGAAATGGAATGGGTGATATTCTGAAGAGTTTCTAGCTACCCTGTCTCTAGGCCCAGAAAAGAAAACCTCTCCAAGCTGCTATGAGTTGCGGGACCACTGAACTTTTCTTTATGTTCTGCTGCACTCTCTCCTGACAGCAATTAATGTTGCTGCTGCAGCAATTAAGCTAGAAAGAGATGGAATTACTCCTTCTATAGAAAAAAAAAGTCTATTACATTTATGTAAAAGTTTCTCACACAAGACACTGACAAAGCAGAGTAAACAGAATCATAGAAATGAAGAGCTGGAAGGAACCTCAAAAGTTTATCTAGTCCAAGGGTTCTTCAACCTGGGCTCAGGACCCCTGAGGGTATCATGATGTTATTACATGGGAGGTTGCAAGCTGTCAGCCTCCAGCCCAAAATGCTGTTTTGCCTCCCCAGCATTTATCCTGGTGTTAAATCTATTTTAAAAGGTGGGGGTTTTTTTCAAGTTAAGGAGGGGATCATACTCAGAGGCTTGTTATGTGAAAGGGGTCATCTACAGAAAAGTGAGAACCACTGATGTAGTCCATCCTCCCAGCTGAGACAGGGCCAAGTAAACCTAAAACCTCACTAACAGGTGTTTGTCCAGTCTGTTCTTAATCACTTCCAGTTATGGGGTTCTACAAGCTTCCTCACTTGTAACATTTTCTAGTATTTAACTATTCTTAAAGTTAGAAAGCTTTTTCCTGATTCTAACTTCAATTTCCCTTACAGCAGCTTAACCCATTGCTTCTTGTCCTATCTTCTATGGACATAGAGAATAATTGATCACAACTGTTTTTAACATCTCTGAAGATTAATCAGCTCTTTCCACACCGGTTTTCTTCTCAAGACTAAAGAGATCCAGTTTTTTTTAACTTATCCTGATAGATCAGGTTTTCTAAGCCAGGTTATCTTCTAGACTCTCATTTCTCCAGAACTTTCTTATAATGTGGCATCCAAAACAGTACTCCACCTGAGGCCTTACGAGAGCCAAGCAGAACGGAATGATTACATCCCATGTCTTACACGACACTCCTGTTAATACATCCCAGAATGATATGAGCCTTTTTCACAGCTGCACCACATTGTTGGCTCCTATTCAATTTGAGATCCATTACGTGTAAGCATATAAACATCTCTTACCGGTAGATGATTAAGGGGCACGTCTACTTGACCCAGGAAGTCGTCTCTAGTCTGTAAATAAAACAAAGGAAAAAATGTTTGCTTATTAGTACATTTTAAACCAACAGAAGGGGAACAAGGGCAAACAGAAGTCAGGTCACAACTGAGCCTTAGACAACACTGTACAGGCAGTCCCCGGGTTACGTACAAAATAGGGACTGTAGGTTTGTTCTTAAGTTGAATTTGTATGCAAGTCGGAACTGGTACATATTGTAGGGGAAACTCTAGCCAAACATTTCTCCAGAGCTAGTTTTATTCTCCCACACCTCACTTCCCTTAGTCCTTTATTCTCAAGCTGAGGTGTCTGCTGAGAAAAGCCGCTCCGCGTCTCCCTGGTCTGCTGGGGGGAAGCAGCTAGTGCGGGGTTGCCTCACCCCGTTTGTAAGTAGGGATCCGATCTAAGTCGGATCCATGTAACCCGGGGACTGCCTGTACTAATCTTTTACTGTATCTGGATTCTATCCCCACCACACCAAACCTCCCTACTCGGAAGGTATGGTTAACTTCAGCAAAGTTTTTAGTACATTTCTATTATGTCCCTCCAAATGGCTCTGAGGCCACTGTATTTATCTGCAGTATTAACAAATTTTCACTTGTTTCCTTTAAAAACCTGCTGTCACTGCAACATATCAAAAATTCTTACAAGTACAACCCCAGGTGTTCCACTGGGATTCCTGGCATTAGGCATACTGAACAAACATTTAAAAGCTAAAATTAAGTTACCACGCAGGCACCTTCACTTCAAAATTTCACAACCTCTTATTTACTGTAAAGCACCTCACTCACATATAAGGTGCTGCTCCTCTTCAACTATATCTTTTTAAGGTAACAGGGTGTTTTCAATTGCTATTACATTTTTACTTTATGCAGTGATTCATCCTACCTGGAGCCTCTTGGTTAATCTTTCCACCCCCCCTCTTTGATGACCCACATTGCATGCTGATGAACACACAGCTTTACATTCATTTAAAAGGGATATATTTAAAACATATGAATGCAGAATAACCAGTACTTAGGTATTAATATCAGCACAGCTTATTTCTGTTGCACAGAACAAGCCAAGGATGTTGGAGAGCTTTAACTATTTTAGTTTCTAAACAGATACAGTTAAGTTATATAAACATGATGTGAAAACAATCTTACACAGTGCTTCACAGGTAAAGTCTGCCCTTACTAATAGGGATGTAAGCAACTAGTGGACTAGTCCCTCTACTAGTCACTTCCAGCCCCCTTGCTGCCTCTTTAAAGCCAGCTCCCCCCAACACTGTCTCCATGGGGGATAGAGGAGGCAGGGGGGTAGTGGGGCTAGACGCGAGCCAGGAACCAGCGGATTCCTGGCTCCTGTCCAGCCCCAGATGCTGTGACTGCTATCTCTTAATACATTTACAAGGCTGGCAAGCAGTGGCGGGGACCACAGCGTGAGCTGGGACAGCTGTATCCTGGATCGCTCCAAGAGGCCTTTTTACATTTAAGGCTGGTACACAGCAGGGGGACCCGGCACAAGCCAGGAATCAGGTGGCCTGGCGCATGCCGGGTCCCCTTGCTGTGCTGTAGCCTATTGGCTCTTAATACATATAAAAGGCAGAGCTGCAGTGGGGTTAGCTTCCAGGGTCAGGATCTAACCCCGCTGCAGCTCCCTGCTTATTGACTAATCGACTAGTTGATGGAAAATCCATCAATTAGTTGATTAAATGAAATGTAGCATCCCTATTAAGATAACTAAGCTGCAATTTGTTAGTGGCTCGCATGAAACAGCACTGCTTTACAGCAGAGGGAGCAGCCCTATCAAATGCATTTTATCGATGGCGCCAGCAGCCTCAGGCTCCAAATGTACTTTTCAGATCATCCAAATATCTATGCAGAGACATGGGCTCATTATTGATTAAAATTCACACACAATACAAGGGGTTCTGAATTTAAATTCTGGTTGAGCCCTATTTCAAGGCAGGCTTTCCCTTTACCTGGAGTGAATGATTTATTGTGAATCCCTTGCAGTTTCTAACAAGAATCTTGCAAGTCTTTACAGCTGATTTATTAAGTCAACAATGGAACAAGGTGATGTATTTTTTAGGGTCCTTGTATTGAACACCTGAAAATACTTTACCCTCATGCTTGCAGTACAGCAAAACCTGTGTTATCGGTCACGCCTGGGGATTAGGGCGTGCCGGTAACCTAAAAATTCTGGTTATCTGGGGAAGGGGGGTGGGAGCTGTACGGGGCCTATGGGGGAGGGGCCCCACGGGAACCATCCTGGGGCTGGGATGTGGCCTACTGGGGGGTGAGGAGCACAAGCTGGAGGGAGGGGATGGGATGCGGCCTGGTGGGGGGGAGAAGCCAGG